ATATCGGGGGGTGTCCAATTTATGGCTCCCTCTTTGGGTGCCTAAAAAGGCAACCTTCCACATACCTATGTACTTTGATTCTCTCTGTCTCTCTCTCTCTCTCGCTCTCTGTATATGGAAGGACCTGGATACTCAGCAATGCTTTATTTGTCTGTTGTCAGGAGTGGTGGGAATGTGGAAGCAGTGCTCTTGACGGTGGTGATCGTAATCATGCTCATCCAACTCATCCTGGTCACTATCATCTTGGTTGAGCAGCGGTGCTGGTGCTCGTGTCGTTGCTGGTGCTGTGGCCGGTCATGTTCGTGGCGGCGTTTTGCTGCTGCTGCCGCTGCTGCTGAGTTCTAGTAGTATTGAAAGTCTGGTAGCAAAATCTGGACTCCTTATCACAGCTTGTTACATTTTTGCTACATTGAATGAGGCACTGCTGAATGGGAGCCTGGAGAGGCGCCTCAAGGACTGAAGTTGGGATGACACCTTCGAAGAAACAATATCTAAACCGTTTTGGGCCATAAACAACACGCCCTGAGCCCACAGATGGCACGTACCACCCTAGAGAAGACGTAAATGTGGGAAATCAGCCGATCCTGTCAGATACTTCTGGACCATTCGCATGATTGTGCGCTCTGGAATCAGTCTTTAGGGGAAGGTGTGTTTCCAGGACGATGACAGGGGTATGCTTGTTGGCTTATGTGGTCGTAAGCCGAAACGAGAATGCACCATAGGAAAGAGCGGGATTGATGCTTTCTGAGGGCCCTGTCAACCAAAATATGCTGGATGGTCATTGGGGTGGCTGGACAAAGTCCAAAAGCGAATACGTCTACTCTACAACGATTCTCAGGGTTTGCGTCGAGGTTCATGCAGTGCTTCATCCAACGGCACACGTGACGTGAGACTTGCCGTGAACCCAGATATCTGACGAGCCGCAAGGAAACACTCGCGAACTCGGAGCTGCCTGAGGATGGCCTAGGGTTCTTTTTGAGTTTGCAGTATGAGGTTTGGGGATTGAGGTGCGCGGTCTGAGGTCTAGGTACCACGAAGGATGGCTAGCATTGAGCGGATGCGAGTTTCACGGTTCAATCACGGGGTCAGTTATGATTCGGGCCTTGAGGGTTTGGGAAGGTAGAGTTTCGATAGGCCTTTTTGTTTCAGGGTTCGGGGCCGAAGGCTTGCGATTTTGTCCCTTCCTACAAAGTTTCGCCTACTAACTTTTTTGACATCGCGGGCTTTCAGTGAAGGAAGCGTGCCGGTTCAGGAACGAAGTACGCTAGCATGCCAGGTTTGGTTGTCAGCAGCAGCCAATCCAACTAATCCATTGATGGACGGAATGGGATTTTGACAAGGCGAAGTGCGCTATGAAACGAAGCCCGCCCGAAACGCAAACCCTGAGACGCAAAGCTTACGCCAAAACATGTTCTGCCTCAGCTTGTTAACAGTTATGCCTCAGTGTTGGTCAAAGCCCGTATATTCATCAGCAGTCGGAAGAGTGAAGCTTGGTATCTTGCAAAGTAAGCCCTAAATCCTGAGCTTGAAGGTCGAAACCCTTGTCACATCCCGGAGATTCCTTAAGCTGTTGTATCATCCTTTTCTTTGGGAGGAAGTTGCTGCAGAAGCCTGCCAAGCTGCCATGGAAAAGGTGGAGCTTCACAAGGTCGTCAGGGTTTGAGGTTTGGGTTCGCAGGTCTAGGTGTGGTTCAGGTTTACGAAATTTCATGTGCAAGGTATTTTTGAGGGGTTCAGAGCGTGGATTTTTGATTCTGTGGTTTCAGGTTAAGGCGGAGCAGGGTTTCAGGTCTCGTGATTAGGGCTAGCCGCTCGGGGTTTGGACCTTAAGATTTAGGTTCAGGGTTTCAGAGAATTACAAGGTCGGGGTTGAAGGTTTATGTTGTCATTAGGCTTTAAAGCTTGAAGATTTTTGATGGTTCTAGGCTCACTGTCTGGGCTACCCTCGCAAAATCCCGCGTGCTCCATTCCATGGGCTTTGCAAAACATAGATTGCTGGCGTCGGTCATAGGGCTAGAATAATTGTAGCTTTGGGTTCAGGATTGAGGATTTGGATTGTCATTAAGAAATGAGGGAATGGATCCGTGTAGGACCCCAACAAAACAGTAGTCTCTTCCCTTTTTTTTCTGGAATTCTTTGCGCATTTGCTGTGCAGGCTGGCCTGGAATCCAGCATCGAGCACCTCAGCTGCACCCGGATGGGTTAATTTTCGTTGACAATCACCATGTTTGTGCTTTTTGTTATCGCTGTCATGATCGCTGGGGGTAGCATTGGCTGTTCTTATTATCACCATACTCGCGGTGCAATAGTGACAAAGATGATAGCAAGACTCGCAAACTTTTGTAATCATGATGACATGTGAGGAGCCACAAGGTGGACTATGACTGGGCGCGAGAGACCTGGACCTTAGAGAAAGAATCCGCGCTGAGAGGGGACCTGAGACTCGGCTTGAAGGTCTCGTTGAGTGAGGATCCAGGCTGTTACAGGTGTAGCCTGCTGACTGACTCGTAGCATGCTGACTTTACCGCTGTTGCTTCGATGTGGTATCCAGCTGGAACTCCTCCTTTTCTGATTACCACAGCTACCATCCAGATGTTGAACAACAGCATTCTTAGTCGCTCAGTGTTTGTCAGTAGTTGACCACCTAGTCTTTAGATTTCAGCATCCGGTTGCAGAATACACATTGTGGAGACAGTCATCCTGAAAGATCGGACCCCTGAGACCTGAGCAGCCCTTCATCGTTTATCCTGCAGCTGTTCCCGTATTACCATTACCGTAGTTATTGCGGTCGTTTTTTTCTTAGTAGTACGACTAGTCAGTCTATGCTATCACTGTCCGTAAAAATGACTGTGATCATCTAGTGATGCCTGTGAAGCCTTTCAAGGAAGTGGCACATCTTCGTGGCCACGAAACCTGCAGACTGAGACTATGATCAAAATAAAATCTTGCAGAAGCCCGAATGTGGGAGCGAAATTTAGAGCCTGGGTGGAGGGAAGAATACGCTGTCTCTGATAATAGACACTGCGCAAGCAAATTATTATTCTACTCCTGTAGGCCGCTCAGCTGAACTCGCAGCAATGTGCTATGTAACAATCAGCAGTCAGAGGCCCAAGGGATGATGTGATCATTTAAGAGGCCCACGTGCAATTTTTTCCTGCCTTATGGGCAAAAATCCAGAAAGAAGTGATACGTTTGGCCTATTGCGCCCGCACAGTGCCCGTCCTCTAGAGGTCTTCTTGGAGGGTGCAAAGTATAACTGCCATGGCAGCCAACCACTTGTAGTTATAGCCCAGTGTCAGGCACTGACCACCCACTGGCTTTCAGGCTCCAAGCAATTCCGGATCTAATCCTTAGAACATGTAAGCTCCAATAGACAGTCCCTCGCCATAATTGCAACTGCAGATGGTACTGTTTTGCAATTTGCCCTCCTTCGGCCTTCTGGCTGTTTACCTCTGAGAGGGAGTTGCCGGCTCAGTTAGCTTTGTAAGCGTCGAAGTCTATGCGCACTCATACGTGAAATTGTGAACATGACCGTTTCTGTCATCTCCGAAGTTCTGCAGACTTACATGCACAACTCCAGGTAAAAAACGGGCAGGAATGAGACCTTGGAGGGAAGAATTTCTCTACATCAGACTTGTGTCGGTACTTTTTCTCTGCAACTCCCTCTCAGCAGAGTATTTCATTTTGCCAACAACTTTTGCAATAGCGCTGGCCCCAGAACTGGGACCCGCTCACAGCAGCTCGTCATTATATTTTCAGGGGGACCCTTGGAAGGGGGGTGGCCTTGAAGGGTCACAACAGCTTCTTTCAGACAAGCAACTTCTTTCATCATAGCGAAATTACTTCAAGTGCTTCCTTGATGTTAGGTTAAGATTGACGGAAGATTGTAAGCCGTGTTTTCAACAAGGAAGGCTCCCCCCTGTGGGCCCTGTTCCGCGAGGTCTTGCTATGTCCAGCGTAGGATCGATCTGGACTCCTGATGCAGATTATGCTGGAGTTCTTTGTTTCACATTTATGGTGGCATGGACCCCCTGCTCCTACCATCAAGGTAGGCACGCGGTGTACAGAAGTTCTGCGTTAACCGCTTGCACCTCAAGTCAACACGTGGAAAGGTAACCTCAGCGAACTTTGAGTCGTGGACTTCTCGCAACTTCTTGCACGCGAGTGGCACTTTGTTTGCATTTTGAGGTTCGGGGCCCTAGGGACGGTTGCAGAGAAGCTGTGAAAGAATGTCCAGTGAAGTACTGCAACGGAACCTTTCACTCGCTGATTAACCACATGGATACAGTACCTTAATGCCCTTATCTAACCAATGTGCGGTGCGTTCGAAGCACACCTCGAAATGCTGTTCTAACAACATCTAACTCTATATTATATGGTGGTCTTAATGCATAAATGGGGGTCCACATGTATGCAGAAGAAATAGAATCCTGACCATGGAACCCCAACCAGACCTTTACCGTTCCTCGTCAAACAGTCTTACAGTACACGCTTTCTCTTTGCGATGGGTTGAAACCTGATCCTCAATCAATCTTTTAGAGTTGGATGGTTTCAGTTGCATTCGGCATGTATATCTCCGTGCCATGAATGTCCTGAATGTTGGCTCGAGCTGCATGTTGTGATGTCTCCTCCGGGCCTGGACCTCGCAGACATGCTACAGTTCAAAGCCAGGACAGCAGTAGTTGGCATGATAATCATGCAGTGGATGGACTCAGCATTTGTCCCAGAAGCCAGATGGTGCCAGATGACCTCATTTGGCGTGAGGGTTTACAGAAAGGAAATTCCAAGCTTTAGAGTCAAGATTCTTAAGCAACACATCGGCTACTGTCAGCAGTATGTGCGCTAGGGGACCAGTAGGGGTCGACAAGGTGTCCTTGTGAGAGTTGCATTTTTCATAAATTGTTCTCAGTCAGATCGCATGTCCAACAATTATGTAAAAATTAACTGTGCGTGGTCTTGGCTAGGAAGCTGGCTCGAAGCCATGGCGCGTGCTGCTGGGGATGGCAGTGAGGCTCTGGACCAGGATTGAAGGTTTATGGTGCTTCAGGGGGATAAGTTTAGGGGTGCGGGGTAGACTCGAGTGTTTCCATTTACTAAATGAAACTGATTGTTGGGCCCCACAAGCAAAGCTTGAAAGTTGACTGAAGCATGCCTCGCGCAGGTTCAGTCCTGAATCTCATGTGGAGTGGAATGGAGGCGTCGAGATTAAGGACGGTAGTGGGTGAGGCTTGCATGTCGTCTAGGTTTGATAGGGCCTTGTAGGAGCTTGATTCAGCTCTGAGATCTCCCAACTCCACATGAAACTTGCGCCTTCTGGCCTTCGGACCAGCTTTGGATCAGGTAGCTTCATGAAGTTTCGGATGGCACTGCTGCTCAGACTCGCTTAGATGGTTGCACGATCTTCGCCAGTATAAGCGCCCACAATTCGAAACGCTCGTAGACTAGAAGGCCTCGACAGCAGTGCTACTTTGAGGTTTGGGGTCATCCCCTTTTGCTTACCTGGGAATACAAGTGGAAGAGCATTCTTTGCTTTTGGTTCTCCATATCTCATACTCCCTATAAATTCCAAGTACGAGGCAACAGTATGGGCAAACAGGTGTTCTGGCCCCATCTGTAAGAGACCCGTTTCCACACCACAGAGAAAGGTAGATCTTGCATCTGACGTGGCATGTGGAAGTCTGCATTCTCACGGCAGTGTAAGCACATCCCACTTCATATCCTCTTTGCGTGGATAGCCAGTGCAGGAAAGCACTAGCACTATGGTGTATGAATGATGTTTAAATAGAACATTCCTACATGAAGGTCACAACACCGCAAAGGCAGATGGCAGCTACACAGTGCCTCAGCAGTAGGCTTCCAATTCCCTCTCGACACCTTGATGTTTGCAGGCGCTTCTGGCCCAGGGCCGCGGGCTGCTGCAAATCCACTGCAGTTTCGGGTTTAGAGCTTGGGGTTCAGGATTTCGTTTTCGGCATTTGAGTTCAGACTCTCCCGGAGCTTGGGATTCGTTGCTGGCTTTTAGTTAGGTGGGCTGGGTTAGGATCTTGGGCGTGTGGCGGCGCAGGATGCAAGCCTTGTGAGTCTCGGTTCTCCTGTTTTCCATTATATCGTGATGGGTACCAGCGTCTCCTCACACAAGAGTCACAAGAGCTGGGTATCAGAATTCGGCGCTGTCAGCTTCTGAGCTTTCAGGGACGTGCTGCAACAATCGTACGGCAAGCAGTGTCCGACTCAAACTCACAACCGTCGTTTGCTCGTTTAGGGTCGTGCCGGGTTACTCTGAGGTTTGAGGATGTCTGGCTTGTATGTATGTAATATGTATGTATGTATGTATGTATGTATGCATCTGTTCAAAGCAGGCTTAAGCGTTTCATGCAATTGGACTTCTCTGTGTTTTGTCCGTCTGTTAAAAGGCAAGGGGCTTTGTCCAATGTGCAGGTGCAGGACATGCCTTTTTGGATCAGACGCTTGTTTGGAAGCAGTGTACAGCTCCATGGCCTCAGGTCGAAGCCCCGGCATAGATGTGAGAAGACATATTCATTAGAACGTGGGGCGGGCGTGAACTGAAGACCTTCCAATTTCTTGCATGAGTTCCCTCAATGAGTGATCCCCGATTGTCGAAAATGCCTTGATACGTGTGGGTTACGGCCAAATTCGGATCTCTTTTTAGGCACAATGCAAAGTACGGCAGTTCATAGTGTGAGACCCTGATAAGGCAAGTTGGCTAATCCGAGGCAGCAATTCAACTGCCGCGATAGCTCTGGCATCATCTCACCTGTCTTTCCAGGTGAGCGGCCGAAAAGATTTAGTTTAGTAAGAGGGAGATATACGGCTACGTTGTAATAGTTTTGCCGTTGTACTTGGACTTTAGGAATGATTTGGGATTTGAGGTTTACGGTTCTTGTGGTGTCCCTCTTCCAAGTTGTTGTGATGCCAGTGATGTTGCACCAGACGACTTCCTTGAATGATAGCCATCTTAGATATATACACACGCATTACATGTGAGCCATGGCCAGAGTGTAGGCTTGTGCAGATGTCACAGTCGAATAGATTCCTTGCATAATCAAGCTTCGTAGAGCCAATGGAGTCGTTGAAGAGTGTATTGTGGTAATTTAAAGTGGGTTCCTTCGGACCCCGGCATTGTTCGAAAAGTCCTCTCTCTCTCTCTCTCCCACTTCCCCTCTCTTTCTCTTTGGGAGGAGAACAGATCTCAAAACAGATTACCTCGCTCCCAATACCCGGCACTCGCATGGGATCTTTCTGCCAGTTGGACCCAAAAACTAAATTTTTGCCCTTTCGAGTAGACTCTCCAGCCCAAGCATGGGAAAGTATCCTATCAAACCTGATCACTGTCACTGTATACTTCCTACGATGGTCTCCCTAAATTCGCCCTTTCCCCTTTTCCATTCCGTCACGAGATTTTCTGAGCAACTAGGGCCCTGAAAAACATAGCTGGGGTTACCAAAGCTCACTTTGCTGCAGATGGCATTCTGACCTGTGGCATGGTAACCTCTGAAGCCCTGTGTGAACCCTGTGGCAGAGACCTGAGAAAGACCGCCAGGACCACGGTGGGTGGGTAGTAAGAACAAGACACAATAAGAACGAGACTCCTTTCCTATTTGCCAAGAAAACCGGCTGCAGGACCACCCCTCAAGGATTTCAGTCCTCCGCCTGAAATCAGAACAAAGGCCCACATTGAGACATGAACCCAAACGATGAGACGTTGAAATGCACCCGTGGCATACCCTTGCCCAAACCAGAGTAGCTTTCAGTTTAGTTGAACTTGAGCGTGGGGTTTGATTTCAAACAAACGCTAATCTGCAGAGCTTTATGCATGAAGAGTAGCTCTCAAAGCCCTGCAGTGTTTACTGTCCGGGGTGTAGGACATACGGCTCAAAGGTCAGCATTAACTTCGAGCGCTGGGACTTAAAGGCAAGCGATGTAATCTTTTACTAAACATCTCCGATCTTTGGGCCTTTGTAGTCAGGCGTATGACCAGAACGCTGACATCCGCAAACCCCACACTCAAATACAGAAACTGGATCAATCTGCCGTGTGCGTACGGAACATACGCGCAGTGGAGGCAGCGGGCATTAACAACAACAAGCCGACCGACAAGGAGAAGGAACCGTGTTGGAAGCCAACCGGTTCAGGGTTCTGGGTTCAGGTTTCGGGGTTTGTGTAGATGTGGAAATCGGATATTAGTGAGAGTAAATCCTTTGCGCCCACATTTAAAGAACCTTCCCTTCTCAGGATTCTTTGGCTGTTTGCAGAGTAATTAGGCCGCTGCAGCTTTCTACAATAATGTTACGCACGTTGTCGAAGTTCGTGTTCGGAGGTAGAATACACACTAAACCTTGAGCTTTATCAAGTTTGCAGGGCTTGCGCCATTGCTAAGTCCTGGCACATTTCGGGCTACAGGTATCAGCGTGGCAGCGGCAAGCGTCGCAGGCTAGCAAATGCCAGCAGTAGCAGAAGGAAAACAGTATAAGAAGCAAAAGAAGAAGTTGTACACAGCAGCAGTGCAGAGTAGTAGGAGTGGCTGTAGTAGAGGTAAATAGACGCACCAGTAGCTAGTGGTAGAGTTCTTCCTCCACTTCGACTCAGGACGGCTCCTCCCGCTCTCGAGTATAAGCCATTCCCGAGCCTAGCAATACTTGCTAGTACTGCTACTGCGACTCGCTACCGCCGCCCCCACTTCCATCCCCACCACCGCTACCCACCCACAAAGTAACAACGTAAACCCCCTAAGACTTTGCCCCGGCTCGAAAGCTAATCCTAAGCCTCCGCTGCAGACTCTCAGCACCGATCAGATTCGCGCCAGCAGAGCTGCATTTTGAGGGGGCGTTCAGGGTCGGGTGGGATTAGGGTGTTTGGTTTGGGCCTTAGCTGGGACAAGGGAAAGACCTCCGGGGAGGATACTTGGACTTGAAGGATTGTTGACTGAGCCTGAGTGGAGTCAGGGTTTAGGGTTAGGTTCAGGCTAGGTTTCGGGGTTCGGGATCAGCGTCAGGGTTGGGATTCTTTGGTTCGTGGTTGCGAATCTTCTGGCCCTCTTCTCGGAAAGCACATATATCATCATATGAATGCGCAGTGCATCCCCACCCTCCAAGGAGCTTCAGAATTTACAACCGCACATCTACGCCGTATCATTTGGGATCACATAGGGTGCCTTAAATGATAGACGGAGGCATCCTCTGAATCTCTAGTCAAGTTAAGATCTTCCTCAGTCGGGGCTTATTCATTTTCCTTGCTGCAAACTTGCGAGCTACAATCACTCTTGCTTTCACGGCTCCAATTGCGCCAATGGAAGGGAAATCAGACGTGCGCAAGGCAGCCTCCAACAGGTGTGCCGGAGCAGAGATCTTTTCCCTCAGAAGGACATGACAATCGTTGCACGAGCCCCTCCGTTTTTTGTTGCGCACCTCGAGTCGCCTGCTGTGTTCCTGCATAATGGCAGTATCCTGGAACTATTCATGAGCCCCGCTTAGAATCCCCTACAAACACACTCAATCAGTGACAGTCGTTGGCACGGCGCCCGTGATTTTTGGGAGGGTGCTGTTTGATGTTCCTATGACGGTTGCACAAGGCCAGAAAGATCGTGTGGCGATTGCGGCAGGACCACAGCAAAAAGGCATCGGCAAAAAGCACATTGTCACGTGTGGATTTGCCAGCCGGGATGAAGGTCAGGTTACGGGAGGTAGAATCGAGTGTAGCCTTATAGCTTTGACGGTATCAGTCAAAATGCAGGGCCTGCTTCAGACGCTGCAGAGGTGACGTATGGGTTTGTGTTGCTGTCGTAGCGCCCTTCTGAGGGGCATCGGGAGGGTCTGTAATGATGATGGACTCCGAACCTTGCTTGAGATGGTGCCTTTGCAGTTGCAAGCGAGTCTTTCATGACTTGTACACCAGTAGCATCAGACTGTAAGAGAAGTTTTTCGCCGATGACAGCTCGAATCCATATGGTTCATGAAACATATAGGTTTTATGGAATACAACAACCCCCTCGATACATGCCAGAATCTATTCTTGGATTGAGCCGAGCCGCATCTCTGGTCAGGTCCTTCTCCGCTTTGTCCGGACCATGTTCTGATCTCAGCACCCTTTGCATCGCACTTCCTGAGCTTTCCTTCGTAGAGTTGAGTGCACCGGGAGCTAGGCAAAGCGCAACGTCATAGACACAAGCAGTTTTACGAAGTTTTCCACGGAATGAAAAATGATCATCCCAGCAAAGTGCATCCCAGCAAAGTGCAGTCCCTACGCGTCTCAACCCGCTTGCGCAACATGACGAGGACACTTACACGCCAGAACCGCATGCGTTCCCGTTCTGTCGCGGGCTTAGCTTCAAGATAGGTGTTTGCGTGACAACATTGGAGGTCAATTTGAGGTTGCGGCTTTTGGAGATGAGTGAGTATTGGTGTTGCACGGCATGCCAGCTGGCGACAGGAATTTGCCATTTTTGTTGCATTGGTATAAGCGGTGCGCGCAGCTTTGTAATTTCCATGGAGCCACCAGGGGCTGTTTCTAATTCGGGGCTGGTTGGCATGAATTACATAGCCCGTTTGGAGCTCGCATGGTCGAAAAGGGCAAAACGTTTGTAGGAAGAGGTGACCATGCCACTGCTTCGAGCACGAGCGCACGTCTGCGTGAACTTTTAGTTCACCAAGGTAGCTGATTAATCAAAGTTTGTTATTGGAACTACGTTGAGCCCCATCTCCTCAAGGATGCATTCAAATTTGCAATTCTTCTCAACAAGGTGAGATCAAAAGCTGTTGCTGCCATCAAAAAGCAAGCATTGCGTTCCACGAGGCGCCGTGCAGAAAGGCCAGGCGCTCGGTTAAGATGAGTTTGAAAAGCGGAGCGAAACTAAGGGAAGTTTAGCAACAAGGACTGGGTCATGAAGAGAGTCTGTTCTGGTTAGGGAATATCAGGGTTCCCTATTGCAAGCTCCTCGTTTCTCCTCGTGGTATCCTGCACTGAAAAACCTTTGTTTGAGCGGTAGCTGAAGGCACCCACCATTGTGAATACAAGTCTCGCTGTTGCCGGGCACTAGACACCTGGGCGCAAGGGGGCCGCACATTGTATTTTGAGACTCAAGAGAAGACGCCTTTTCAAACATGTACTTCAATTAGTTCTGAAGCGCTTCAAGTTGTATTAGCTGAAGACCCAACAGTTGTGCTTCTGCAGATCACGCTGTGCCTGTCAAAGAGCTGCAGTCGACGCGGAAGAACCACGCACAAAGGCAACCTCGGGAAAAATTGCTACTCAGTACCCCAACCTCCACCCAGTCAGGGATCAAATTGCAGGACCGAAGATGAAACTTACGGTCGAGACTCTCAGGCCCAGCCTGTGCAGATCCGAAATGGGAACCTCAGTCAAAAGAGCCAGATTCACCGGCGCTGAGGCAAAAACGAATTATGAGCATAAAGGAGGAACGTAGGTCTTGCTCTCTAAAGTGGCTAGTTGTTGTTTCAAGCCGAGTTTCCTGCGGAAGCAGGCTCGCTCCCCAAGCGCCTCAGGACTATCTGGAAACGTTCAGTGCCCGAGAAGAGGCATCCCAGACCTGCGACAGCTTTGCGAGGGTGTCTGTGGTTTTCAGTCATCTTTGGTCACCTTCAGACTGTATAGGTTTGATCTGTAGAGGAGAGATGTTAAACGATGATGCTGCTCTGGTGCTTACAGCAAAACTACCGCATAAGGTTTTACTACTTTAGGCTACTGTAGTGTTTGGGGGTTGATCATAGGAGATACACAAGATTAATCCAGGGGTCCGTTCTTCCCATGCAGCGCCAGCCCGCAGGGGTAATTGCCCATCCGGTTGACCTGCAGGATCTACAGCGTGCCGTGACCGAGCTGGACGGGCGCAAGGCTGGGCATTGCAAGTCCCGGCAGTCGCATGTTTGACACCAGGATGGGCTACGGGAAGTTTAGCGGTCATCATGGTGTTGGTTTTTCGTCCTTGGTAAGAATAGTTTTTGGCCACGCATTAGCAGTATGTTTGGTGCCCAAAGATGGGGGTCATGTTTCTGCGGGACATCTGCATGTGATGTTCACCTTGCTTGCGAAGGCCTCAACCTGACATCCTGAAGTCCAAGCCCTACCCGCCGACATGGAATCCTAGATGAGATGGCCTCATTTCAAACCGAAGAACAGGTTCAGAATCTCAAGCCCAAGGCGCTACATACCCAGAAATGCTATGCGCCGATATTACGACTCCATCAAACCCCTGCAAACCGTCAGTTTCCCGTTTACCTTCTGCGGTCCCTCCGAAATCCCTGGGCCATGAGCCGTGAACCTAGGTCCTAGGCTTCTTTATAGGTAATCCCTATTCTCTGAACCCCTGATCTTTCATCCCTGAACCAGAGCTGCTGAACCCTTAAGCAGTTAAGGCAACCGACTACATGTCTGGAGAACAGGGTTTGGGGGAGGGGTTCCGCTGCCAGGGCTCGGGTTTGTGGGATGAAGGCTTGACGGCTTAACGTTAGGGATTTGGTTTTGTGACGCCTTTCAGAGTTCCGGCAAAAGCCCTTAGCTTTGAGATTGGTTTGAGCGGCTTCCCTCAGGTGTGTTACAGATCTGAGGGCCTGGCAATTTGAAGGTTTGAGGTTTGGGTAAGGCACCGGATCTTGCTGTTGGAGTTGGGGGCTTAGGATGCACGGTTGAAATTCTCTTCTGGATGCGATGGACTGCTCTGAGAGCTCCTGTGAGTCCTTAGATCCCTTCTCGTACAGTTTAATGATTTAATGCAAGAGAAAAGTTCGGCCCAAAACGCTCCTGTTCATAAGCTTCACCTTCCCATGCATATCTACCATTTGAATTTCGTAGTCTTGTGATGTTACGTCCAAAGTGATTGCATTCGAATAGAGAGAGGGAGGGAGGGAGAGAGAGTGAAAAGGCTCTTGTACAACTGGGCATGAGAGTTTGCCGGGAGACCTCCAGGTGACAAGGAGGGAAAGTGAGGGCAGATGGCTGTAGTATGTGTAGGCTGCAGTAGTGAAAATGCGTGATGTTGCGCATGCACGTGAAACTTCTGTTTGATTCCAGAGTTGGGGTTTTCCAACAACCTTCTGAAAACTTGCTGGCAGGCTGCAGAAGAAGTCCTGCAGGGCTTGTTTCCCAGAGTTCTGAGTGCCACTGGCTATACTGGATACTGGCTTTGGATTCATCAGCATCTTCATGAAGAGCAGGAACTTGAACAACAACACCCCTAGTTTTCAGAGAGAGTTTGTTGACACGAGCCCTGGACATGCAGGGCCTCCAGGCCGCTGAAGGCACTGCTGAGGGAAGTGGCTTCGTATGCATTTAAGTCCTTGCAGAGGAGGACCTTTTTGGAAGTTTTAAGAGTTACTTTCGGATTGCGCCTTATCCAGGCTGTCAGGGTCTAGGCCAGGGGCTAGGATGCAGTGGCAGCTCTTTTTAGATGTGCTTGCGTGCTAAACACAGATCCGAACGGATCAAGCTACTTCAGGGGCTGTCTCGAAGAGAGCAGACAGGGAAGTTTGTCATTTTTTGGGGGAGGTCTGTTCAAACTTGCGACTTTGGGACTGACCCCTTTGCATTTCTAAGGGAGGAAGAGGGTTTCAAGAACAGTGACCAACCGTAGGAGTTTCAAGGCGTGCCCCGTTTCGAGGTGTCCTGCCTCAAACCCAAAATGTCCTGATCGCTTGAACCCCCCCACACTAGACTAGACTCCGTTGCGCTTGCTGCTTCCGATGACAAGCGACGTTTTAATGAGGGGCCTTGGCGCTGCCTGCTCGGAAATTGACGGCCTTTAGAGGAAGGAGTAGTGCATGCTGTACGATTTGCAACGGTTGCAAAAGTAATGCACGTTTTTGTTTCAAGAGTGTCATGTGAAAGGCAGTTTACATAGCCAATGCTCCATGACATACTTTGCACACGAATTAGGCCTCAAACTGAGCCTTGACATGTTCCTTACGGTGCGTTTTGGAACAACGATCAAGACACCTTCAGGATTCGCCAGGCAACCAATCGGTTGACGATCTTTTTGGGGAAGGATTTACTCTGACTGGGTGCTGGGCCGTTGCAAAAAATACGATATTTCCACATCAAGCCCATAGAAGAACTTGAGTTCATGTTGAGAACTACCTAGCTACGATCCGGCTAGGTCTCAGCCTTGAAGTCACAACTGATGGGTCTGACCATTCTTGGCCCGTTTTGGGAGATAGACCTATTTGGGACCAATGCCCTGAACCGCTAGCAAATGGGCATTCATCAACACGGCGTTGCCCCAGCTATAATAGCGTATTGTCCAGCATCCTTCTTCTAGGGAGCCAACCCAGGGTTTCTTGGTCCGGCTGAGGAGTCGTCCCAACTCCTGCATCACAGGACACAACCTGGGGTGTTTCTCAAAGGTCTGGCTCCTGCTTTGGGTTTGGGGTTCAGGATTTAGGGTGTGGGTCTCAAAGCTACATCGCCAAGCTACTGGTCCCTGTTCCGTTCGTTGGACAACGTTTGCGAAACGTAAGCAAGCTGGCAACTTGAAGTTGTTGTGCCCTGGGCACAGATTTCCAGCGCAAGGCTACCTTGAAGTTTGCCCTTAAAATGATCCACGAGCTTCATAAACATGGTTACGGTGCCCTTGAGAACAGAAACGCAGAGTTCGCTGAAGCCGTGCAATCGCTGAGAAAGTGTGAGCCTCCATTACTGGAGCTTTAGGGTTTCAGCATTGATTAATGCCCCATGTCGATTTTGTTTTTCCATTTTTGATATGGCCGTCTGGCAGGAGGAGGAAGAGTCGTCGTGGTTCAATGGCTTCTTCGATCGCCTTCTGCAGGCGGGGAATTTGCAAAAGTGTTGGATGGATAGTTTACATGAGGTGACGTAGGGCTGAACCCTTAAGCCGACAGTTAAGGCAACCGACTCCATGTTTGGGGAACAGGGTTTGGGGGAGGGCGGGGCATTTCGGTGCCGGGGCTCAGGTTTTGGGGATGAAGGTTTTGACGGCTTAACGTTAGGAATTTGGCTCGAGACATAGGGTCCTTGTGACACTTTTCAGAGTTCCTGGCAAGGCCCCTTAGCTTCGAGATCCGTTTGAACGGTCTCTCTCAGGTGTTTACAGATTTGAAGGCCTGGCAATTCGAAGCATCAGGGTACACCGGAGGATCTTGCTTTCGGATTTGGGGCTTAGGATGATTCGCGGTTGAAATTCTCTTCTGGATGCAATCGCAATGAGTGTTGTTCTAAGAGCTCCTGTGGGGAAAATTCTCGGGTGCCTTAGATCCCTTCCCGTACAGTTTAACGCAAGAAAAATGTCGGCCCAAAACGCTCCTGTTCATAGGCTTCACCTTCCCATGCATATGTACCAGACGAGTTTGGTAATGTTTTGATGTTAAGCCCAGAGTGATTGCATTCAAATAGACGGAGAGGAGAGAGTGAAAAGGCTCTTGTACAACTGGGCATGCGCGTTTCCCTATTGACAGGTCTGGTTTACCGTTCTTGGCACACCCATGTCACAGGGATTGGGGTCATGGGGGTTAAGGGTTTGGACTTAGGATGTAGTAAGACCCCTGGACAGGCTCGGATCCATCCATGTAATGCAAACCTTAATTCTATCCACCCACACCCAGTCATCCGGCCACTTACCGGTCGAAGTTTTGCATTTGCAGCGGAACATTTGGCTTCGCTTTTCTCGGCTCAGATGGTCTGCGTGAGGCCCCTCTTACATGTTGAGCTTCCGTCCAGGATTTCGGTGAGCAGCTGGCAAGCTTCCTGCGAGTTCTTGCCTCAGAATGCAGCTATTGGACGGCGAGCCAGGAGTTCCCTTTTGCCCGTATAGCAACGCAGTATGACCCCTATGACGACCGTCCTCCAAAAGTCCTACATGCACGCATTGCATGTTCATGTGTTTATGTACATCCTCTCATGGTGTTGGCTCATATCAACAGCATTGTCGAGACTTAAGTTCTTGAATAAAACAACAAGACTGCACATGGCTAAGCCTTTCCGGCAATTCGTTCTTTACTTAGATTCAGGAAGCTTCATGAAAAAGGGGTAGGTAGGTCTCAAGCCAAGCAGACACATTGTGACGTCACTGTCTATGGTTCATGTCAAATGGGCGTACAAGCTATTTAAACATGGGAGCTGTGTGTTTTTGTTAGAGGACCTGCAGGTTCCCCACTTGGGCCATATGCATTGCTGTAACCATACCTACAGTCCTATCTATGAGTGCAGGGATGTGAAAGGAACAACGGTAGCTTTTGCCCGTGAGAGGTCTGGCTGCGCAGCCTTTGTTGCTGCTGCCGAGGCAAGTGACTTCGCACTTCCGCATAAGCCTTGAGGCGCTTCGGGTGTTGCAAGGGCTTTGGACTCAGGGAGCTGTCACTTCTGCCAGAAGATATAGTCGCATTTTTTTTGTTACTCTGCCCTTATGCGTCTCTTCTCGTAGGCCCTTTCTGTATCGCTTATAAGAAGTCGCAGTGCTTAAATCAAGGCAGGTATCGCTGTGAATGAGCGGCAGAAATATCATTAGATCTTCAGCTGAAACTGTGCTGATTGGAAATCCCGTTGTCGGCACTCACAAGCATGTTGATATTATTCGTTATGATCTATCTATGTCCTTTCACCCTTGTTCTAGTCCTACAGTGGATGGAGGAAATCTTGCGCCGCTGTTACAACATAAATGTCTTACACTTGCGTACCCCCTGCTTAACATTGGTATGGAAAGCCTCCATATACAAAATTGCGCCAATGACGGAAATCTTTCACCGCCTCATACAGAGCAGGTGTCAATGCTAAAACGGGGTGCAGGGATGCATTGTCATGCCATAGAAGATGCCTGTTGTGTAGGTGGTGCAAGATTTCCTCCATCCACCGTGTGGTCTGATTTCAACAGGACTGTTATCCCCCGCAGTGGTCCTGCGGGCCCTTTGGCGAATTGGCAAATAGAAGTCTGGGCGCAACTGTGTCTTGTTCTTAGTTGTTACGGCGGGCTCACATGGGCCTTCAGAGGCTTGATACAACACATCATATATCATATAGGTTATGTAAAAGAAGGTGAATCTTGGTAATCCCAACCCTTGATAGACGGAACCCATAATTAGCCAACACAGTCACAAGATTGTTCCAGGGTCTTGAAGGGCTGATGTTGACGTCTCCTCTTCTAGGTATCTCCAGACTGGTTTCGACAGAGTGACTCTGACTCAGGTTAACTTAAGGAGGTGATGCTTGTTTTTATTAGTAGTCTTGCCTGTTCTTGGAACCTTGATAGCAGGCAACAGCCGCAGCGGTGCTCACCATCTGATTGCCATTCACTTCTTGATCTGCCCCCGAACAGGGATGTAGCAATGGCCAAGGAGCTCTGCCCAGCCCTTTCACGCCTCATAAGTTCTCTGTTAGGATTTATCTTTTGATTTAAGCGGCCTATTGCAAGTCCTTGAGGCCATCCAGGTAAATAATGCGGATTACCGCATGGAATTCACTCGCTCATTCACACACAGTTTACCTAAAGCTTATTCCCTAAACCCCTGAACCCTTTCCTCCATTCTTCGCACATTCTTGCCTCAGAGTAAAGATTTGGGTCCCCAAGTCAAGAATTTCTTTGCCCCCATGTTCTTACAACGTGCTGCAAAACCAGGACATACTCAGGAATGATTTTGTAGCAGCACGGTATTACCCCATATTATCATCCTCCAACAGTCCTGCATACAAAGATGACATGTTCGCATGCATAGTGTAACGCGTCCATCCTGGCATGGTAGAAGGCTCGGCCTGGCTCATAACAACAGCATTCTCAGACTTGGTTTGTGAACAATGCAGACAGATGAGAAGAAAGAAGACCTTTTACACAATTTTGTAAGCACGTCAACTGCCCAACTTGTTGGCCATTTTTGATTAATGGTGAGCACGTGTTTTTTCCGTTGGGAAATGTAAGCTATACCTTTAGCTCTCGCACGGCACTGTTACAGAATTTGGTCCGTCTGTAATCCAACACCAAGATCTCAATTCTCAGGACACCCCAGGAGACAAATACTTACCGGTGGTTTGTAGGGAATAAGGGAATATAATCCTTAACAAGCAGTAAGAAATTATTTTAGCCTAAGCTCAAGCTTTGCTTTGTCTGCAAGGCGGGGGCGACTGAGCTTTCAGGAGCAGAGGGCAAGTCACGGCAACTTCGGAGCAAGTGCAGCAAAAAAACAGTTGTTCTTGCTGACATTTTTGTGTTTCCCCAATGGACGGACAGGCACACTGATGATTCCGGACAATGCTGTTTCGGGGTTCTGGACGTATCCAGTTCAGCTGGAATGTAATTGGAATTCATGGTTGCAGGTGCATGTAAACAGGCTGGTCGCATAAATTGGCGATCTGGTCCCACTGCCAAAAACATGCATCTGGTCGAATGGTTTGGGCGTACATGCGATGCTTTTCCACAACGGCAACCGGCTCTTGCAGTCCCAAATCTATGCCGAGGGTTCATATTCAACAAGATCGTCTTCAAACACAATGCAATTTGGCCCATCCTTTATTTTACTGCGCGGCCTCTATGCTCGCAGGAAACATAGCTGATTGTTCTTCGTGTTCAGGTTGGGGCAGCAAGAAGGCGTGGTTGTAAAGGTTGTCGCAACTTCCAAGGCTTTTAGGATACCGAGGGCGCGACCTTCCTGTACGTGTTTATTGTACAGAAACTCAAGACCTGCAGTGGTTTGAGTCCCATTCCCGCTTTTCTGTGGCTGAAGGTTAGGTGATCATCGGCAACTGCGGGCAAGCAAAGTTTGTGCCAGCTGCAGCACTCATGTCACCCTAACGCTGTCAGGATTTCGAGAGACGGTTTGATCCATTCCGCCAAAACATGCCGCCGAAATTGGGCATGATACACCGACCAGACAGGATTGGCATGCTCCATAAACCAACAAAGTAGAACATGACCTGGCATGTAAGATGTTTTTTTTCCACCCCAATGAATTCAGAACATTCTTGTGTGCTGACTGCACAGGTTTTGGCCCAGCAAAGGCGCAATCCTGCAAAATTGGTTTTCCAGACTAAACATGGTCTCCAGCAGTAGTTGTATTGGGATTTGTTCCTGAGACGGCACTGCGCCTTACATGTAAGTCGAAAAACTTCAAGAGTAGTATCGTACTTTCAAGACGTAGGGGCCATTTGCTGTCCGTGCCAGCGGCATGGACTGCCGATCCGAGGCTCGGCAATAGGGATGAGTGGAGGCTTTTGAACGATGAGTTTCGGGCTTGGAGTTTGTCTCCAAAGTAAGGGTGCCAAACCCTAGAACTTGCACACTGGAAACGACCTGCAAAATAGAGATTGAAGTGCTTGAGATACGAGGTTCTAGTAAACGTGGTGTTGTGCAACAGAGTGTGTTGTTCCGGGGTGTGAGATGTCCGAAAAGCATGGCTCATTGACTTATAGATTGCTGAGCTGTGCTCATGAAATTTCTGTTAATTCCATGCACGTGTATGGTTTTGTTGGTTTGATACACGGCGTAGCAATTGTCAATGCTGCGATTGGCCTTAGTTGCCACTATGCTGCATGTCTCGTTATAGCTATGGTTCCACCGCTGTCATATGGAGAGTAGCACATCTGGTGGTCATCGTTTGTCGCATGAAGTGGAACCGTCTTCAGACCTCTATGGTTGTTTTTATCATCACCTTTGCAGCCATGATTGCAAGTGGCATAGGGCATTGCAAAGCTTTTGTGGGGCTGATTTTGATTTCTGATTTTGATAGATTTTGATGATACTGAGGTTACATGCGCACGAGTGTGACGGGTGTGTGCCTACTCCTCATGTCACAGCAGTGGGTGCTGTTTTATTGCAACCCTTTTGACCATGATCCGAATTAATGGCTGCCCAAGAGTTTCAGAGTTTTGCTTACTTCCGATTGTTGATATGTTGTAATCCATGGTTTTCCAATCCACTGAAATCAGGGAGCAGTTTGGAAGTTTTAGTATTACACGCTGCCAAAATCATCCAAATAGCCCGGATTGTGTGATTGAGTTTTTAGATGTTTTTTTCAAATTTACCGATAGGTTTAAAACATGATGTGCGCTAAGGTTTTCTGAGTGTGCTGCGTGTCCTAAGCCCCGAGCCCGACTGCTTCCTTGTTTTTGATTCCCAATGCCCAGTGACGATTATTTAAAGTCTTTGTTGTCTCCGAAAGGTTCGAAGTGTGGTAGTTCAAAGTAGTTGAAGCTTCCACGCGCTTAGGACGTCTCAAAAATCCTGGGATCATCCTCGTTTCTTTGATGTCACCCATTTGTCTTGTGTCAGCGTTTTTTCACTGTGATCCTTCACCCCATTTGATTTACTTCATTTATCCTGTCCAGTCCCATTTCCTCCGGTCTCACACATCAGGTCCTGGATTCCGTGCGCCATCCCATCTCCTACTTTCCTTGGTCCTTGTTTCTGTCCCTTGTCCTTGTTCGTATGTGGCGCACGATACGTGACCTTGTACGCGTTGCCTTTAGATAGTAAGGATGTCGCAGAGTTGAGGGCAGGAGGCAGTGGCAGATTTTTTGAAGCAGGTACCTGGGTATTCTTGTTCTGGGTCTTCAAGATGTAGGATGTAGAATTCATTGATTTGTATCGGTCCTGGTCTATACGTGCAGACCGTCTCCTGCAAATATATTTTGATGACGACCCCCGAGACCCTGCAAGCATGTCTCTGCAAGGCTGCCAACTTCGATTCATACGCTGCCCAGCGCTTGGGTAGGTCATCAGAATTTCCTGGAATGGGGTTTGCATTTGGATATATTGTGCTTTGAGTTGTTGTCGGTACTGTACGCCCCTCTGTTGGCCGCGCGAGCAGGAAACCAAAGTGCTGGAAGTTGGTTTCCCACAATCACAGTCTCAGGGCTCCCAAATCAGGACAAGATTACTTCAGGGTAGAAATGCACGGGTAGGAATACGCTTCAGTTTACAGCAGCACTGCTTAGGTTTGGATTCTTCGCTGGCTGAGTCAAGGTGTGATTATCGGGCATTCATGTTACGTGAGGTGCCAGGTCCGTACTTTGGGGCATGGCCATGGAGTCTCTCATGCGATGAACTTGCGCGGAAGCTGCCTTACATGTCCTGGTTTTTGATCATTCCAAGAATATACAGTCTGCATGAACCAGGTTACTTGTCAACAGCCGCGACGACTGTTTCTTCTTGGTATTACTACTGCAACTACTTCACAAGCTTCAGGATGGTTATCAATAGTTGTGTCAATCATGCTTATATGCCTGCAGCCGCTGAGATCCCTTCTGCCCCACAAGTGGGCTCGGCTTGAGCATCAACAAAGAAACAAGAAAGTCCTCCCATGGTGAAGTACCGCGATTTATGTTGCAGGTCCCCTTTCCTCCTGCCCAGGTGGTGCATAAGGCTCCATAGGAGTCTCACACACTTCGTATTGTGAATGTTTTCTGTTCAGTTCCAAAAGCAAAGTAGGAACCTTTGCTGCCATGATGCTTTCGCTTTGCTTTGGCCTGGTCTTGGCCTGGCATGTTCCCGCCACCCGTGCGGAGGACCCCTAGGCCTGACATTCATCCCAGACTAACGCTACCGGGCCAACAGAGGCCCCACAAAAGCTACTGCCCTTTTAAGTAGTGGGTAGCTGGGCTTCCATGGTTGTTTGGGGGTGGTAGCTTTCAGTCCTAAACCTGAGACCCGAAACCTGACACCCAAAGCCGGAAACTTGCAAGCCCGACACCCCAGGCCCGAAGAACGGAAAGGGATGGTAACGCTTGAAGATGCACGTGGTTTGCTGCTTTGAAATGTAGAGCTCGAGCATGGCAGTTTCTTCCAAGGACAGATCTCCGGCAGGTCGGTATAAATCTCTTGTGCCAGGGATGCTCCATGCTCACTGATACATTGAAGACCGCGGGCCAATTACGGCAAGGTGTGGTTATATAACAGGCGTTGAGTTTATTCCCCAAATCTTGCCTACACGAAGGAAGCTCCAGACATACCGCGACATACCGCGACATGTGCGGAGGACCATCTGCGTTGGAGCAGCATGCCAGACCGCTGCACTGCCAAGAGCGATCCCTGGAAGAAGATTTAGGGCTCAGGGTTCAGGGATTAGGGTAAAGGCCGACCTGAGACGTGTGATAGAAGAACATGTTCTATAAGGACCCAGAAAGTTTGGATTAAGGTGGGGATAGCTGATCAGTGGTCTACATTCATAGGGTATGCCTCAAGGGATCCCCAGTGTTATAGAGGCAGAATGCATGATTCAGTGCAAGGACCTAGGGATTAGGATTTTGAGCTACAAGGAGGACATCTGGGCATTCTCACATTGTGCAAGGAGAAGTTGCCGTCAGTGTCTTGCATATGGTTTTTGCAAGGAGTCGGCGGGGATATGTTAGATGTGTTGAAAAGTGGCTTTTGCAAAAGGCCAGAGGGATCTAGTGTCTCTCTGCTTGAAATGGCCTGGAAATTGGTTTCTCCCCGCATGGCTTATCTGTCGGGTGGGGGAAAATGCCATATGTCCCAAGCACAAGGGACCCGGAAATGGTGCCACAGGTCTGGATATCCAACTGATTACTCCATACAGCTCTTGCAAGTTCCCATAGGAAGGCCTAAAAGTACTTGCATGCCGTGATGCTTCGCTTACTTCGAAGAGGATGCATAAGACCTACACCCGAAACCACCCAAACCCATAGAGCAAAACCTCCACAAGCCAAGGACTGTGTGATTCCAGAAGCCGAACACTGGATCTTAGACTGGTCTCCGCCAGAACTTGCTTCGCTTACCATTCGAGGCTTGGGGTCGCGGCTCTGGGATTAGATCTTTTGAGTTAGGCTTGGGGTGCTTGCTTGTCTGAGATTATGTTCAAAGCATGCAGAGTTGCAGGCGCAGTCATGGGGCTTTATTGGGTGTTTCTGCGTTGCAAATTGTGTTTCCGGCATCAGATGTCGCTCCCTATGATGGCTTGTTTTCCCTGTCAACAGAAGAGGTTATTGAAGGGCTCTCAAAGGAGTGTTACATTCCCTTCCTTATCAACGCCCGCTTCTTCCTCAGCCTTCTCATGCCATATCCAAGACGACAGTAAAAAGCTGGGAATCTTTGTCCTGGGGAGGATGAGTGTGGGGAACTAGGGCCAGGCAGATACAGTCAAATATGGGAACTACGAGACAAGTATATAGAGGCGCCTGATTCTTTGGGATGAGTCATATATAAAGAAGCCCCCTCGAGGTCACTTGACGTGGGACACCAACATGGATAGTCTGCAGCTGACAGCTGGAAGCCTGGGCAGTTTTCGGAAATTTGGGAGTCGCTCTTTCGGGCCTGTATACGCATCGCTCCCGCTGCCGTTCCTTTGTATTTGCAAGGGCTGAGGGTTGATTTTGGGGGTTCGGGGCTCCCCATCCTGTCGCTCTACTTCAAGAATAAACATGAACACATGAAGGGTAAGCAGTCAATAGCATGGAAACCTGACTCTGATGAACCAGCTCGATTCGCAGACTGTCCTGCATTTGCTGCTGGCATCGTAATCTAGAATATGTGTTTGGCAAGCCTGTTTTTGAGAGGAGATAAGTGCAAAGTGAAAAAGCAAAGGATTTGTGCTGGTGGAGGGCAAAGGCAGGTTGGAAGCCGCTGGATCTTTGTTTGGAACATTTTTCTATTCTCTATTTGTGTGCAATCTTCGCAAACAAATCAAGCTAAAGTCTCGGGCCATAGTCCTTAAAACCCCAAGCAGTATCCCAGCGCACGGGCCCTGAACCCCCTTAGAATTGGAGGTCGGCACGGTGAACAAACCCATGAGCAAGCTTGCCATTATCAACCTCACCGATGCACAGGCTCTGAGTTCGCCTTACTTACGCGTGCTGAGTGGACGTGTGTGGAAGTACTGGTCAGGACATACAGAAAGAGCCAGTAGTGCCGGGTAATGGTGCGTTACCAAGAATTCTTCCTGTACGTAGCGGCAGGTTCTTGAAAGTGCTGTGCACCACAAAGCAGCAAGCACCAGGCCAAACAGGTCACGCTTTGCAGCCTTTGCACTGCGAGTCTTGCATGTTCCAGTAGGCTCGAAGTCTGACACTTTGGAGCACACTGTCTTGCAGTGTTTGGACAACAACAGCTGTCATTCTGAAAGTTTCATGTTGCATCATTGTCAGATGAAAAGAGTTCCAAGCTCTGTGTTTTATGGTACCGCACCCTCCGATCCCTGGCCTCTTTTAAATGGCGGGAACGAACAAAAACATCCACTCAATTTTACATGGGCTGGCTTCTTCTGGAGAGGCTGCTCCGCACCCAACGCTGGGCACTCGTTTCTTGGCAGGTCAGGACAAGGCGGGACAGCTCAGATAGCTGCTGTCATGTGGTCCAGTGGCCATTTACCAACACCCAAAAGTGAGCCATCATCATGTACCATTGACAGCCCAAAGCTCACGAAGACGGTCGCACGTTGCCCATCAGATCATGACCATTTGCCAGACTGGAAGGCCCACATCAAGCTGCACGGCCAGCCACTGGGCACTTGGACACTGCTGGCCAAGGACAGGGTTTCCAAGAAAACGGCAACTGATTTTGAGGGATTCCTGCGTTTTGCTTGCTAAGCTTTGTGACTTCAAAACACGATCCCAGGATGTGGCCAGCGGGGATTCCGAGCTGCATTTGCGCGAGGACTCGGGTTTTCGTGGCACCCCAAAAGAGTAGTACCTTAATTAGAGATATTGCGGAGAAAGAACAGAGTACGATCAGATGCTCCTATTCGTTACACATACTATAGGAGATTTACGGTGTGGTGCTGTGGCATCCATAATCAGGACTTGATTCACAGGACTGCAACTGTTGGTAGGAAGAGAAGCATCGAAGGCCTGCGCACATCGGAATTCAAAGGCACAACAGCGTGAGCAAACATGCATTAATGACGAAAACTTGAACCACAGTTTTCATATTGTTGAGGTCCGGTTCAACGAGGGTTCTCGCATTTTGTGAGCCTGATTCTTGAAAAGTGTCCTGATAGCGGGAATCGTTGACGTTTGTTTTTTCCCCAATTCTTGTGTGTATGTAGGCTGTACATTGCCAAGATGTCTTCTTGGGCTCGCGCGCTCGAGATATTGAAGTCCAGGTCTGAGTCCACAAGCCCAAGCCCTGAGCCAGGAAGAAGGATTTAGCAGCTTCCCAAAGGGGACCCCAGTAAAGACAGCAATATTATAATCCTTATGTCGGGGCACAAAGATGCACCCCTAATTCCAGGAAACCTAAGTCCCTACAAACCCACTTTCCATTTCATTGTCCATGTTCTTTTCTGATTCTCCATTATCCGGGGTAATGTCCCTATACAACCCCTATGTCATCCATATTATAGGCCCCCTAATTTTTGGAAATATGCATTTTTTCATTTAAAGCAGGATCCCCGTAGCCTGTCCTGGCGCGTGGGGGACGAGATTGGCATTGCGACGACCAGTCGAGGCCAGTTCTTGTTTTGTTTCAATGTGTATGTATTCTATATATTATACTACGTATATGTGTATATACATATGTATACCAATACTTATTATTGTGCCATATGGCATCATATAGATATCATAGAGATTATAATACATTGCAATACACATAGGTTTTGTTCACTTTGCGTAGTTTCTTCTGATTAGGCTTGTTTGTGCTACGTCACATATCTTTCCAGTCTATCTTCAAGACACGTAAAATTCAAATCCTAATTATGGGAACCCTAAAAATGTGTACCCCTAATTCTCGGAACCCCTAAACCCACGAATCCATTCAAACTTCCTGTAATATCCCAACATAACCTTATAGATCCCTATATAAATCCAATATAAAGTCCTTTATATAAGCCCTAAAGCGTATCCCGAGATTTGGGAAACCTTCAAAGAGAAACCCCTACAACCCTAAACCCTAGGGCCTTAACCCTCTGACGGCCAGGCCAGACGCGGCCGTACACGATCGTCAGCCTGGGTCCTGAAGGGAGCAACACGGCGCTCAGGCTGCTGATATATAAATTAGGGGTACCATTTTGGGGGTCCCTATAATAAGCACTATAGTATACTTGGGTATATATTGGCGGTCCCCTTATTTTGGGAAACTACCATATAATAGGGGGCTTCCCTAAAGTGATCCTTGAAAACCCTTCGTGATCCCTTTCCAACCTGGACCCGGCTGGAAAGTGCCAAGAGGAGCCTGGCATGCTCGGAAGCTTCTTATTATGGATCCATCAAATATCCATAAGTCACCCTATGGGCCCTAGAAATCTTCATATTCACCTGCCACCCCCATGTACAACTTTGGAGTGTTGATTGCTTTGGGGACCTTAGGTGACGATCGATCCGCCCGCCGCTACGGACTACTGGGGCGGCTGGCAGAGCCTGCACTACAGCTCCGGGCGATCCTCAGACTTCAACAGGAGCTCATCCAGTCCCCAAAGCACTTAATCTTACTGCCTGTGAGTAGGGAATGTGGGTAGACAGATATATCAAGAAAAATAATGTAGGTCCTTCCTCAGAACCAGTAAGTATTCCCCACTTCTCCATCATCAGCCTTGAAGTGCTTCAGAGCCCTTATTCCTCTTGCAGGAGTTTCGAGCTTGCTGCGGAAGTCGTCAACTTGCAGCGCTCCGTGGTGATCACCGGGCCCCCGAACTGGGATGCTCGACTGTGCTCGACATGAAATCCCAAGTTCAATGCTTCAGAAAGGCTTGTAAGGTCCGCTTGGGATTGTGTGGACACTATGAGGCCCTGCAAGTCGAATGATTGAAACGGGGCTAGGGAGAAATCTGAGGAAATAGAACTAGTGTTGTTGGGTCTTGCGATGGCCAAGGGGGCCAGCAATTCGATTCTTTCAGCGTGAACTCGATTGTTTAAATCCCTAAACCCAAAAAAAGTTGCCTCCAGAAGTCTTGGGATGGCATGAGTGTTGTTTGTCAGTTTTTGTGCAGACAGCCTCTAGATTCGTGCGAATTGAGATTCCACAGCGAGTTACGGGATTTTGGAGGACCTTTGTATACGGAATCCCTTAGGCAACCTTAAAAGATCAAGACATGTATGATGGAGCTCCAGCTTCTTACTGGTTGGACTTGGTGATTTTGGAGTGTAGGTTTAGAGGTAATAAGACAGCAGCCGCCTTTTCAAGATGTTCCCTGACCCCCTAATCTGGAGTACCCATGCGTTCTAGATATTGAGATGCAAGACAAACTGCATGGGAGCTGCCCGCCTGAGATGTCGAACAGCTGTCGGCGTATGTTACGAAAAGGTTGAGTGAGATTCTGCACAATAGACTTTCCGGGACGAAATCTAAAATCTCGCAAGAAGCGAAGCAAGGCAATGGATGTTTTTGGAGAGGTCTTCCTGACATAAGCCAGAAACAAAACATACCGGGCCACTAAAACTCTGTGACAGCTTCAAAAAGGCTGGGAACCCTGAAGAATGAATGCAAAAAAACCGAGGCATACATTCCTACACAAAAGATCCCACACCTCCGCAGTCCGAATACAAGCCTCCTGGAATCCTGTGTACTCCCCGCAAAATCCTGATCTGTTGTTGAAAATCATTTTGTAACCGAGAGAGTTCTTGTCTTGGACAGTGCCCAAACATTGCTTAGGACACTGCAGACTGGAAGGGACTTCATACTCTGATGACAGGCAGTGAAGGCTTCATGGATGTACCTGGGGCAGCATTTGGCGCTGTTTACCGATACCTTTTACACATTCCGAAGCGGAATAGGCAGGCTTCCAGCTTGGATTATCTAGGGTTGTGTGTGGGGCGGGGTCAGGAGTGCTCATGTAGGGAGCCTAAAGTTTCTGGGTTTGGGGCTTAGGGAGAAGGCTTCTAGTGGGCTTCAAGTGAAGCAACCTCAAGAATCCAACCTGACATCCGGTGTCCATCTCTATGCTCGCTACTTATTGACGTACGTAAATCGTCAACCAGGATGGTTTGGATTCCGTCAGAGCTTCTGAGCGTGTAGCTCTACTTCACGGAGATCCCCGGAAGTTGGCGGTCAGCTTTTCAGGAAACAGTTGCATTATCTCAAAAGAGACCCCTGCAATCCCTTTAATCAAATCTTTCATCTGTCCTTGAAGAGGGTTCCCGACTTTGGAGAAACCCCAATCCGTACAGGTCAAACGATAGCCGTCACTGTTAAACCCTAAGCCTTCAGCTATGATTAAGATTGCGATTATGCAGTGTGTTGCTGTCTAGTTGTTATGAATCCGAATTTACCCGAATACAACAAATTAGTATCAGTATCAGTGCCTGTGAATGCAAGCACTTGATTGTTAGTAATATTACCTTAGCACTCCCAGTCAAGGGCTTCATGAACTCGGTTGCATCAACCAAGGCCCGCTATGTCCGCGTGGAGAATTGCGGGCAGCCACCGCATCAAGGGACATTTGAGTTTCTCAAAACTAGGACAACTGTTGAAGGACCCCAAAGGAAGTAGTTGGGGTAGACACTCTTTTCATCCACTGGAGTTTCCATAGGCTGCTTGACAATGAACAGGCTGCCATGACAGACTGTGAATCGTGAGGATGCATCCTTAGTAGCAGTGTAATCCTGCATACTTCTTCCGTTAGATTGTACATGACCTGTTTTCGTCATCGTTTTTCAACGGCTTAAGAATGGATATCATTGAGGGTACCTCACATGCTCTTGCAATTTTGCCAGGAGATACTGCCTCCATTTGCATCTCATGCATCGATGTCCTCGGTGCGTCTTCGAGGGCAACGCAGTAGTCAACTCTACTCAGATCGGCATCACTGTCCATGGCACCCACCAAGCTACTTGGGTTACCATCTGGACCGCTTTCGTAGCGCGCATAGAATGTTGGAAGGCAGGAGTATTATAGTGAAGGGTTCCTTGGCATGCACGACATCATATGGTCTTCCTCAGAGGGCCCGGAAACAGCAGCGCATGATTTTACGCAATCGGGCGTGTGCAGACAGATCAAGTAGGGTGTGGAAGGAATTCTGCCGATGCAGATTATGTGGAGATCTCTACGGGCGACGGAGAGAGGGTGGGAAGAATGTGGGGAATGCATTCTCCGGGCTAGCTTAAAACTACAGGCTTCGTCCAGTTTGCAATTGGGTGTGTGCAAAGCGGCCGCCAACGCGAAACATGGCTGCGTATGACCTTTGTTTGGTTTCTTTCCAAGAAGTGATGGGGGTATTGTCTCATCGGGTCTGCAAACAATGCAGGGTTTTGGCCTGCCAGGCATCATCCGATTGCGGCTGTTTTTTCCTCGCAAAATCTGAGCCAGTCAGGCTACCGTGTCAAACAACATCCTTTGGAACACGATGTCCGCAGGGGTCTACGTCGAGGACGGGTGTTTGCACCAAAAGCTGCTTTTTTTCTCAAATAGAATAGAGAAGCAGGCACGCCTCTATATGTCTATATGTATAAACATACATGTGTATATATATATATACACATGCACACACACCACATGTGCATATAACTTACAAATTCTGCATACATATGTACCTCTGTGCATATACATGATTATGCCAAGGGCCAAGGCCCGCGTCAAAGCACAGGAGATCGTTGTAAGAACATGGGTCCCCCTTGCAGACCTCGAAACCGGTTTCCACATTATGTGGAAGTGAAAGTTGGGAGAAACTGAGCGCAAGACACAGCCAACAAGGGCCTACAAGATAGCCAAGAAATGGAAAGGTCAAAGCCGTATCTTCCATGAATACACGCGTCAAGGACGGAAACGAGATGAATAACACCTTCCAGGAAAATGTAGTGATCTGCATGCACGAGGCGCTCCTGGCAATCCTGCGTGTATGGAGTCAGGGTTGAGAGAGGGTTTTTTGAATATTGTGATGCTGGAGTAAGGTTGAGCGTCTTGGGGGTGAGTGTCTTAGGCTTTCAAGTTTAGAGCGTCAAGCCTGACTTGCTTTGAAAACCTTGGGTTGGTGGAGGCCGGGTGACGTGACCTGGAAATACCCCACACCTCTGTGGCCCCAAGGCCAAGGCCACATAAGGAGGGGAGTTGCCCCCTCATCTAATTCCCCACCACCTTTATACAGCCTTTTTATACATGATAGGCTTTCGTGCTGGAATAACAATATGCTTTCGAACCTACCCTGAAGCCCTAAGTAGTCGCAATATTCCGTTGGTCCAGGTGCCCCCGCTCAACCCACTGCCGTGCAACAAGGGTGACACTGGTATTTGCCCAGAAGCTCGCGACTGGGCTCTTTTTTGTCGGATTCTTGTTTGGGGTCGGCGTTTGAGGTCTCGGGGTTGAGGACGACATCGCCAAACAACGTGACTCCTGTGAAAGAGAGCGACAGTGCGAAGTGATCTTCGTGGACTTAATCTTCACAGCTCAGTTTTTTGGAAATTTCTCCCTGCTACTTGCCGGATTCATGTTTAACTCGAGCTAGCTCCGGTTCAGGAATGCAGTATCTTGCGCGAGGGTTAATCCATCCTTGCGACCCACCTTCATGTGACATGTTGTTCTGAGTGTGGGGGTATGCAGGAAGCCTGCATTTGGGGGACAGCTGTTTAAATTATACAGACGTAAGAATACTTCTGAGTGGTATCTTGTAGAGCAGGCGCCAGTACAATCCTGTAAAACGGTTCTAGTCATCCATGAGCATCACCGAACCTTTTGCACAATTCAGCGGACTATAGAAATTTGCATGGGCTATATACCCCAAAAGTGTTGCTTACATATCAACAATCTGCGAAGGGGCGGGCCCTTAGCATCCCCTTACATCCCCAGGGTTCCTCGGAGCTTTCTGAGACACCTCCCCTAAACCCTAAACCCTGAAAGCCTAAACTCCTAGAATCCTAAACCCCTAGAACCCTAGACCCCTAAACCCCCAAACCACAAAAACTCCTAAACCCTAAGCACTGCACCCCTAAGAGAGGATCCAAGACTACGCGGGGCAATTACCGAGGTCAGGGATGCACCTACGACATGTTCAACCAGGAGGGATCAGGGCTTCTCTCACACCCTGACCTTATTCAGGGATGGGGGGAACTATTGGTGGGTAGTAGATTCGGATAGATGTAGGTTGAAAATCTCCAGATGGTGGATTGAGCGCTTGGAGTTCAGGGTGGGACAAACATGACGTTGTTTTGGCATTCTTCCTGGCTAACATCATGTGCTACACGAGTTCTCAGCATGAAAGTGGGTCCCCAGGAGAATTACTTTACTTGCTTGCTTGTGGCCTCCGAGTTGTGCCGGGGGAAGTTCATCTGCATGATCGGGAGCATACATACATATCTTATTCAAGGGGTGGACTCTGTGGGGTTGTGTACTTAGTCTATAGCAGCAGGCATTGTGAAAATTGTTGTCAGAGACCCGGTTTAACGTTAGTCCCTAGAGCCAATCCCAAAACAAAATCATCATTGCAAGCACTCAGGGTGGTCGTTTGGGCGGCTTTTTCGTCATTGGCATGACGAACAATTTCGTGAGGAGAGCTGGCTGGTTTCGTGGTCCAGGGCTTTGGGCAGAATCTCGAGGGCAAAGTGTTATTGACGATTGGAGTTAGGCGTTGGTTTCTGTTTTCCAGGACACGCAAAGTTTACATGGAATCCATGCCGTTTTAGTTGACCAAGGGACTGACCTGTAAATTTTGCTTTGGCTCCTCACCATGAGTTTTCAAGACTGCAGGCAACAGCTGTCCAATGAGGGCCAAACTCTAACCTTACACTCCGCAGAATGCTTAGTGTGTCAGCAATAGGCCCGACGTCACAGCCTTTGACGAAGTGAGACGGTCTCACTTCAAAAGTGTGCAACAACATTTAGTAGAGTGACTCTACTGATGGCTGAAAATCAAGTCCCGCTAGCAACCCACTTTTGATGAACTTCCGAGCTTGCTCCCAGCCACCCCAAGCACGACGATCCTGAGATCCTTAATATTCCCATGATCTGGCGTGGAGGGGCCTGCCCGGAGGAACCGCGTCGTGAACATGGAAAACTGCATCTGGTTCAAAGGCTAGTCCTGTGCAGTTTACATGTATGTGTTCAGGGTCGGGCTTCGGGTTTCAAGCTTTGCAGTAGGACACGCTATTCTGTCAGCTTTGAGTATGCTTTGCTTTGTTATCTGCACTGTTTACATATTCCTTGCCAGGCCTATAGCGTCTTGCTCTGCACAGCACACAGCATGTTTTATGCTCGGTCAAGTTTGGGCAAGCATGATGGCGGTGGCCTGAGGCGGCGGGGAGTCGGCAGTGGTGGCAGCGTTGGCGGTGGTGACGGTGCAAGAAGAGCGAACAACCACAAAAGTGCATAGTAAGACATAGTCATCGAACAAGCAGAAGGCTTATGTGTGCTCATCTTTCATGTTTAGCGTTTCTTTGGAGGCTCGGCAGATCCTGCGGGCCGCGGGCATGCGGCAGGCAATGCTCCGAAAGCCAGCTGTGTACTTCTTCAGAGCAGAACTGCCGCGTGGCAGTTTCTGAACATTTTTTGTTCTTGAGGATCTGTGTGATAGGGGTTTTAACATATGCGGCATTCATCTTGAGAGATACCCATATCTTCCCATGTATGATCTCCTTCACGCTTATGCTCAAGAAGATCTGCTTGTACCAGCTTGGGATCCTTGACAACTTTCCGACTTGCCAGGCACAATTGTCTAGGCCGCTCTTGAGAAGATAATGGACGTCATGTGGCAAGACTGAGAATTCGCACAAATTGGTTACATGCGCTGCTACGCGACAGAAAGGCAGCAAAAGGGGGCTTTGCCTTCACCAGTAGTCAGACAAGCCACGATCGGGGTTTGCGTCACGTGCCCCTCAGCGTGGTGCAAGAAGTATTCAAAACAGCAATCACATGTGTTTTGTTTCTAGTGGTGCTTTGGGTGCTGCAATGATGTTGAAGTGACCATGATAGGACTGACAGTCTTGTCTACACCCGTGCCAGAAAGCCTCATGATCCCATGCCTTTATGTCGGAGACCCTGAACCGTGTTGGGGTATTTCTGGTACTGAGCCCGTGGTTGATATATCACTCATTACTGTTTTCCATGGTGAGGTATCATCCTCAAATGCTGCAAAGGTTAAGCCAGAGCCACACAAAGCTGTTCATCGAAAACTTGGACGGGCCCTTGTTCAATGTTTGCGGTAATGTGGGGTGCGGCGGTCCCTATGCCTCGATGTGTTACGTCTGCAGCCTCAACACACATTTGCCGCAGGATTGGCATTAGGGCCGACCAAAAAAAGCGTAGTGAGAACCCCTGAGCCCTGCACCAAACTTTGTCAAATCCTCTTGCACAGAAGGTTTTAGATAGAGACCTCCGGAAAAGCCTGTTGCGTGACAGGCAAAGTGTGCCCCATGCACCTGCCGTTCCTGGGCTATATCTCCCTGTGAATGGAATTTGGGGTTCTAGGGTTCGTGTTCGCAGCTCAAGGCTCGCTGAAAGTTTTTGGGTTTGGACCTCAATTTTGCCTATTGCTCTATGTACCCCCATGTTTGCGAATGGAAGGTGCGCGAGAGTTTCCTTCATCAGTCTTGTCTTTCTATAGGGTTTGGGGGTTACATGCGTCAGAGAGCTTGGGCCCAGGGGACATTTGCACGCCCGAAAGCAAAGATCAGCATAGGAAGCTGCCAAATCTGTTTCTGAAACCTATATCATGTCTGCGCACACCGAGGATGATGATAGTAGTGGTGATGGAGATGGAGTGATGGTGTGACGGTGCGATCGTGGTGAGGATGAAGGCAATGAACACGTTGCTGGTGATGTTACATTGCGGGCGTACATGAGGACGCCAAGAAGATTTGTCCTAGGTCTGAAGGACGCGAAAGATATTCATGATCTTGCGGCATTGCCACATGGGCCGTTTAAGGTATTATGACAAGAGGAGCCGTAGATTGCACAGCATGACTTTATAAAGAGTAATTACCAGGAACCGTTTAATGATGATTCAGCCAAAAAGGATGATACAAAATTGGAGAATCATGGTAGGCTGCAAGTAGGTTACGAGTGAGACAGCTTTTTGTTCCAACAATAATTTGGGTACGCATGACTCCGCACATGACAATGTATATGAAAAGCCTTAAACGCTAAAGATCACGAGGTATAAGCCCCAACATCAAACCTCGCAACCTAAGCCGTAAACTATGTTTCCTAAACTGGAAATTCAAACCTGGAACCCAAACCCTAATCCCTCAATCCCCGACACTCAACCTGTCAAAAATATATTTATGCTGAATGCTAAACCCTCAACCCCAAGTAAGTTACCATTATGAGGAAGCCCTATTGTTTACCATATTCCCATATTATGGTAACTTTATTTAAGTACTTTAGCAGCAACCCAGCAAATTCTGAGGGTCTAGGTAGGCTCTGGCCCAGGTTTGGCCAAATCAGCGGCAACGTGTGCCACGACAACCGCCGCTTTGGCAACTGAGATCGCGGAAGCAATCTTTGTGGGTATAGGGTTTAAGATTGGGGTCTAGTATCTTGGGAAGCTACCCAATCTTTGTGGATTTTTTTACTTTGGTGGGTGAGGGGCTCTTGTTTGGCTGCTGCCGTGAAAGCCCTTTCATATCTAAGGGTTTGGAGGAGGATTGCAGATTGCAAATCCAAGCTGCAACTGAGCTCCCTTAGGCCTGCTGCGAACTGGAACACCCCTCGTACCTTGAGCCTGTAGGCTGCAAGAGAGCTTGGAGGCTTACGGGTAGTTGTGTGGAGATAGAAGCTCAACTAGGGGAAAAGTAGCCCCACGTATGAAAACCCATGGACTTCGAAACTGGCCAAGACCAGGCATCTACCTCGACTTCCAGAGTCCTCGAATGATTCCGCGAGATGAGAACGGCTTTGTGGCTGACATTGCGGACCCAAACTCCAACTGCTTCAATGAGGTGCCGCGTGAAGCTAAACTTGCAGCCTCGATGTTCTTGAGGAGATGAAGCGCAGTCCAAATACATGAAACCCATGATCGGCGTCCAAAAGGGGGTGGGGTCAATATGTGATTTAGGTGACGCCTGATGGGCGCGATAGCGGCCTCATTCCAGCCAACATCGTCGAAGACGAGTTGGACTGGCACAACGAATCTTGGCGAAGCGCTTGATACTCTGTGTATCCAAGATGGGAACATGGACCCCTAAGGTAAGACTACTTTAAGACCGGAACTGTATACCTGCATGAGCCCTAAACCTGAACCATTCACCCTCAGCCTTGAAGCGTGTGTTGGGCTGCGAAATGCAGTGAACAGACTATGGCTCAGATGAATGTACGCAGATAGGGAGCGCCTCGCGCTTGTATGGCAGCTGACTGGAGGATTTTCGGGATGTCCTCCTTCTAGTTTAGATTAGGGCCTAGGACACCACTCATCGCAAAATCTCGTCCTTAGGCATTTCACATACTATGATAAGAAGGTCTGCTCAAGCCTTCGGATTAGAGGTTTGAGGTGTTGAAAGACACGTAGCATTCCTCAGCATGACAGGCGCTGTTGAGAGCTATCGATGTTTTTTCGAGAGAGCTCGACAAGTAAGGAGTTCGTGGGCCAGTACACTTTGTGACTTGGTCCTTCTTGGGGCAGCAGACTTTGGAAAGTTACCTAACCTGCCCAAGGCCGAAACAGTGAAAGCTCTGTAGGATTTGGGTCTGGCACGCCTCAACATTACAAGAGTTACTGAGGAGTATGCGTGCGAATGCAAAGTGATGCTGAGTTGCTAGCAAACAAAGTTTCCCTCAACAGGGTTAGATCCTAGATCTCAAGATAAGTAAAGAGAATCACCATCCCTTGCCCCAGATTCGTGTTTTTGACAAAGAGCGGACCGATAGTTGTCATGAAAGTGCTCGGCATGAGTCAGGTCGGACGTCCGATATCTGCGCTATGTCGGCATAAACAACATGCATTGCATGTACTGGAAGTCTTCAAAGAAGTCTCTGGGCAGATTTTGTGCAAGATGTTTTTTCCTCTGCTTAGCTTGGGATAGCGCTCCTGAATCATCAAGCCGTGGGTTTCCGGTAATTCTACAAAACGCCTCAATCCCTGTCTACCAGGGATCCAAGAGCAGAAGAGGTTCGCAGATGGAGGTCTGTACCATGTGAGGGACTCCATGTGCATCAATGTCCCTGCGGGCGGTCTCTTCGAGTTTCCTGCGGGCCAATTCCTGGGACCTGCTGGTTCCTTTACTTTTGGCATGAAGAGCCTGGGTAGCTGTTAAGGGTTGAATGAAAGTCACAGGATGAAGGGTCTGAGTACACTATCGTGGCGTCTGATTTTTGGTTGCTTACAATCCCTGACCCTAAACCTCTAAACCCTAAGATCATATTCAATGCGGGGAGGGGTTGGATCCAAGACACTTTTCGCTATAATTGCTTTCGCTTTGCATTAACGCCATCCCACCCATCCCCTGGTCATATTCCCTCCTTTCCTCCAAGTGAACCAGGAATGTCAGCTTCGTGGGAAGTCCCGGAGCGCCTAGACTGTCAAAGTGTGGCGTTTTTTCGTTTGGTAGTTTCCCAAAATAGTGTTCTGATAAGGACTCCCAAAAAGGAAACCCCCGTTTGGCGGCTTAGGGTTCTGCAGAAGAGCATTTGCATTCATGGCGTTCACTGCGTTCACGTCCTAATTCCCCTCACAAGCTCGTAGCCATTCGAGCATCTAGCTTTCGTTCTTAATAGGGGGCCTTGTCCTGAAATCCTGAGAGAATCACCACTGGCACGCTTGTTTGTTGCTGTTATGGGACTTGTGAAGGGTGTTTGTTGCAGCTTGGTGGTCGTAGACCATGTCCTCTTTGCCTGGCACAGATTTGCATGGGTGCCTCGGGTTTATCACAGTAGCTGGATCCACCACCAACCTGAACTTAAAAGTCAAACGTGCCTCATCTACAAAGCTTAAGCATGCTTAAACATTGTGCCCCAAACCCACGCAACCCCGTCTCTGGACGCGAAGCCTCAATCAGGTTTCTGGGGCTCTTTCTGCTGGGCAGCACTGCATGGACGGCGGCGCGGGCGGTCCCTGCAATGTCCAGTACTTGCTTGAGGACGGTATCAAACTGTATCAAGCGTGCGTGGTATGCATATGCCGACCGCTGCGCGAGTTTTTCGTGACTTTCTGAAGTCCCAAATAGTGAAGCGACTGAAGTTGAGAGATAGAAATTCTCTAGTGTGTTAGAGGTGCAAGCTGTTTTGAAGTCGATTGATTCTGGTGCAGATATTCATCAAAGACCCAAACATGTTTTACATTTGGAAGTCTCATTCCAGGCATCACCGTCACGCCACCTGCTTGGGGAGTACTTTGCGTTGTAGAATGCTATGTGGGCAATGTGGCACCACATGAACCTAGGCACTTACCAGACAGCAGACAATGGCAGAAACAATGACGGAATTTCAGCACAAATAACAATTTCTGGGCAACCACAATCCATGAGCTTGTAGTCGAAACGTGTTGAATATTTCCCGCAACCTTTTTGTAGTAACGTTCCTGGCCGGCAGGACGTGAACTTCTCCCACACAGCCCAGTCTGGCAAGTTCATACAATTCGGGGTGAACAGCAAGCCAGAAGGGAAGGTGCTGCCGGTGTTTCTGTCTCTTGGGTTGTTCTAGGAACGTTGTTTGATCTCTGTATCCTTCCCAGACAAAAGCAACCATGACAGCTCAAGTTCTTTCAGGGCGGCAAAAGGTTCTGTCTCAAATCAACGGCTCTTGTGTGATTTGTATACCTACGAATCTAAACCTACTTTCGCCAGAGCCGAAATCAGAAGAGTCAAAGAAGACAGCAACTCCAGAACACAAAACCAGATATTCAGATATCAAGATACTCCTTATGGGCTCCTTTTTTTCTCGAAGCCAGGTCAAGGGATGCTTCACTGGGAGGTTTCCGATCAATTGTGAGCCAGCATTTGGACGGCTTCCTCTCCCAGGGACACCTGGCAAGTTAAGGAGGCGTGGGTTTTAGGGTTCAGGTGTAGGGCAGAGGTCATGAGGAGTGGGTTAAAACGAAGAATTGGATTACTTCCTAGGAATTCCTGGCAAGCATGGTTGCAAGGGAGGCTTCGGGAAGAATAGTACGAGTCCTTCTTGACATCTTGCAATGCATGTTTAGCATTCGGGCGGCGTACTCTCTCTTCCATGGATAGTTTGCATAGACAGACTCAGTGTAGAAGTTGTGGCAAAGTAGAAACGATATCAAGTCAAGTATAATAAGAACTCAGTGACCGGAATCCACATTCGGTTGACAAGATGAAGCGAGGACATGGCAACGATTGCAATGGCAGTCGTAGCTATGTTTTAGTGCCCGGGAAAATGGCAAAATTGTTATGGGTTAGATCTGGCAGAGCAGGATCTGGCAGAGCAGGTGGCAGGGCTTTCTTCTAATGATATGTAAGGTTTCACGATATTGCTCCCAAGCCTGGAACCTTGATTTATTTTGGTTGGTTTCGTATTCAGGGTGCGTGGCCTCGCTTTTACTAGACGACAGCAAATGCATGCCTCCTGGTAAAGGGGCATGGAGTGTTTGTCTCTCAAGAAATCAGGGTTTTTGGTCTCAGGTGACATGGAACAAGCACTGTACACACCAAGAGCATGAGACAAGGCAAGTGGCATACGACTCCATCCAAACCAGCATATGAACCTAACAGCCCGAGAAATGACTCTTTTCACTTTGTCCTGTTTCTGCCTTCATATGGCCTACTCGCCCGAAGACCCCATCATGAAACCCTAAAGTGACAAAGCCTAAAGCGCGAATTCCTTCAAACCTAAATGAAGCGCCACAAAACGGAATGCCATTTGCAAAAAAAGGATGTGAAAAGCTCGGGTTGGACTGGGATGCTGGCTTTGGCTGCAACTTTCCCATTCGAAGGCTACTCGGAGGGGTCTTCAGTGGGCTTTGTGTATATGGCTTCGCGAACGTATGGCTGCTGCCAGTCGCAGTGCAGCATTACATGACAACTCTCCAGTCATCCCAGCTATGCTGTCAAAACTGCCCTGAATCTCGAAGTACCAGATTAAAGCTGTCCTTCAGGGGAATTTTGCAGGGTACAGAAAGGTTTAGGGCTTAATGTTTAAGTGGTAGGTTAGAGGGATACTAGACGAGCAGCTTGGGATGAACAAGGAGTTTCCAAATATGATTTGGGGCGCCGAAAGGATTTTCTGAATCCAGAGAAACGCCATGTCTTTGGCCGTTTGCTGTAGCAGAAGATGGGTAAAGAAGATGATGAATGGCAGTAGTAAAAGCATTAGAAGCGACTACAGGCTTCTGCCTCGCGAGAAAGCCCCAAGCGTACTCCTATTTGAAGCTTGTCCTTGACACTAAACGCTTCCTGTGACAAACCCTTCTAGTGAACGAGCACCCAAGCCTAAACCTTAAAACTTACGGAACCCTGCAGCCCTACACGGCAAGCCTTACTAAACACGAAGGCCCTATTTCAAAACGCGCCTGAAACTCCAGAGCCAAGGGTCTGTCTAGAATGAATCTAATAAGGTATTGGGTTACGACCTTCAAGCGATCATTTCTAGTAATGTTTGCGCCTTTACCCTCCCAATAATCCCCTATCTCCAGTGTGGTGATGAGGGCTGTCAATTTGTTGGATCTTTAGGGGGGTCTCACGCATATCCCTTTGTATGTACTCCTGTGGTCTCCTCATGCCATCGTAGATCCCTTCAATATCCTTATCTACCCCTATACATACCCAGAAATCCCTATATACACCTGGATATCCCTCAAGCATCCCAATATTCCAAACCTCTGTAAATCCCCATAAACCCCTACCCCACGTATAACCCCCATCTACGCTTGGTTTGAGGAACCGGGTGGGACTCAGGTTGAGTGTTTGGACCGCCGCCGCCTTGGCGGGAGAGGTCCAGCTCTCAGGGCCCGGTTTTGCCGGCGCTCCGAACAATGAGTCTTGGGATATCACCCCAAGAATGGGGGTTGTTACAGGGTTCCCATGCATTAGGCATAATGGAAAAGAAAATGGAAGCCACTAGTTAGGGTCTAGGGCTTCAGGATTAGGTTTTGGGGTGATGTTTGGAGTTTCCCGACTTTAGGACGAGTTTCTGGCTAGGATGAGGATTCAAGTGTTGCGGGGTCCATATTGTGGTCCCTTCATTCACAGAAACTGCCATGTGGGAATTTCTCAATCTAGAGACCTCCATGAAAGGATTATATGAACATTCTGGGGTGGTGGATTTTATAAGGGACATTTTGAGACATCGTGATATGGGTATCTTCCAAAATCAAGATTCTGTGCTTGTGCGCAAAATACAAGAATCCATCACAATTTGAGGAAACAAACCTGCTGCAGTTTTTCGTTTAGGTTTATTCTGGGTGTTGGGTAGAGCGTGATTGGTGCATTCAAGGAATTAGGTTCAGTGCTTTGAGAGTCTTGATGTGGGCTCATGCGGAGAGCGCAGCCAAGTATCAAAGGACTTTGTATGAAGACCCTGGATACACGTAGCATTGTAGTCTGAGACTATGGGCCCTGGAAACCCGAAACGCTTGAGGTTTTGAGCCAGGCGGCACCAATGTGGCACCATGCAATTTTTGCGTTGCATTGAAGGCGTATGCATATACATATATATATATATATGCGAGCTTCCAGTACTTCAGTCAGCCACTTGCAAAAGGCTTGAAGTCAAATTGTTGGGACACTGGCAGTTACTCAATGCTTTCAGGCTTGGAGCTTACCAGGGTCGATATGAGAAGGCTGGACAGATTCCTTTGTTTGGGGAAGCCAAGCTGATTTGCTGTTTGCATCAAATAAAAGCAGTGGATTGGATGTCCCCGTTTGGCAGATTCATCTGCTGTATGAAGTGTTCTGAACATGCAAAAGTATGGCACCACAAGCCTGTCACAGACCTGATAGCTCGCTCCCGCTCTAAGGGCCCATATGGCATTTATCTAACTCCTTGATCTTCCTTGTAGAAGTTTTCTTTACACGACAATCCACCCCGAAACGCGCCCAAGCGGCCCTACTAACATTGATCCCAGGAGTTCCCAATCTACGGGGGCAACGCTGGCCGTTTAGCATGCTGGTTGTTTTTACGGGCCTGTATACAGTTTATAAAGGTTCTGAAGTTTTGGGTTTAATTGTCATTGTTCTTGTCTGTATTATTGATATGTGCTGTTCCAGATGGTTTTCACAGGTTGTAGAATAGCTTAGGACACATCAGGACACATAATGTGTTTGCCCCTTTGGAGGCAATGCCGGCTTATTGTCCTACGCGACGAATTATAATGGCTATGGTGCATTGGCCATTCCGGGCCAGGTCTACGAATTGAATGCTGCTTTGCTTGAGATGTGGGGGTTTCCCAGTGTCCGTGTGTGGAGGACCCTCACAAGCATACTCACAACTTGGAGTGTGCATAAATGTGGGGACCTGGAAATAAAAGTTTGGGGGGTGTAGCATCCACGCTGTGGTGCTGTAGGTTGTTCTGCTGAATCTTTAAAGTAGGCCTTGAAGGCATCACTAGCCCCTCAAAATCCCACAGTAGTGAGCCCTTGCAAACCTGATAAATAGTTGCCCATAGTTCTTTTTAGAAAGATCAACAGACATGTGCCTCCAATGCCCTGTAGCAGTAACCTCAGCATTTGGTGTAGTTTCTGGAAACTCAGGCCGACTGGCGATCAAGCCCTGTTATCGACATAGACTTCTCCGACGACGCCATGGGGGATTACTTTGGGGAGGACTAGAAATTTCTTGAACAACATGCTCTTGTGCACAAATACGGTCTCGGGGATACATCAGATTCATGAGCGATTTGACATATCGCCATGCAGCGCAGCCAGAGCCCCAAACCCAGAACCATCTCCCGTTTCAAGTTTAAAACTCAGAGTTAATGAGTTACTGGAACCCCAAGCAAAGCTGATCTGCATTGATATCCAGGCTAGAAAGGTTAAAAGCGCTTCAGCATGTATCTCTTCTATAGCGTAAAGGTGCCTCTTATGTTGTAGTCCTTACTGCCCGGACCACACAAAGGAACCGCAATTTTGCAAAAGCAATTATAAAAAGTCCCTAGAAGTTTCCTTCAAGGATATTGTTTGCAGAACATGTTATAGGGAGATGTCTTGCTCCAACATTAGAATCCTTTCGCCGCAGCCATGCGCGTTATTCCACATCTAGCGCCAACATATATGCGGGAATTCTATCTCCTTATCATCTGTGCCTCCGTCACTAGAAAATTCTGAACATCGTGTCGCCAAGCTAGCACTTGGAGCCCTTCTCATGAGACCGAACTAGCCTAAACTATTCAATCAAATATTCATTGTCGTGGCCCAAGCATTTCCAGAGACGCCTTGTTAAGGGAGAGGGGGGTGCGGAGAGAAAGCCTTCACCCCAAGCCCAAAACCCTATGCACAATGCAAGCCGAAAGGATGATGCCCTGACCTTAAAGACCTCGCTGGGCGCCTGCACCCTCTCGTCCCTGGGATACCTTTGTGACACCAGTTGTTGGTTTCTAGGGAGATGGTATAGAATATCAAACCAGAAGGCAGAAGGGTCCTTTTATGCAATTCACGTGGGTGTAGGAGCAGATCTTCGCAGCAAGCATTCGTGGCTCATACAGCTGCATAGTCCCCAAACAAGCCCTCTGAAAATTGTGTGTTGGGTACGTAGGTGATCGAATCGCGGGGTATGAGTTCACGTTTCCCTTTGCATACGACTAGGGACCCAGCATGTGCAAGAGAGCTGTTATACAAACTCCTACTGGATCTCATTGTTACAAGCACGGCTACTGCTTCTAGCAAGGGCAATGCTGTTTTGCAACATCCCAGGCATGGCTCAACATGAACTTAACCACACTAAGCCTGAAGACCAATCTTGACCAGTCCTGGAACCCCAGTGGTAGAGGGAGGGTTCCGAGTCAGAGACTATAAAAGCTTGAGATTTAGGAGTTGAGGTGTGGGATTCGAGGGTGGGGTCTAGGATTGGGGGATCCAAAATGTAGAGCCTTGGGCCTTGGCTTCAGGGTGCTGAGTTTGTGTGGGTGTTGTGCAGCAAGGCACTAAAGTCATAAGAATTTGGTTGTATGCAAAGTTAAGCAACCCCTCTCATATTTAAAAAGCCTGAGTAGGGTCAGGCATATGACCCCCAAAATTCTTGAGGTTGCTCTGTGTAAGCAGAAGGTCCCAGAACTTCGAAACACCCAGCAATTCGCAACAGCCAAAGAAACAGAGTGGGGGGAGCGGCTACTGTTAAGATCCAGTATGTTCACCACAAATCCCTTACCATGGTTCTGTTCAGCACTTTATAGTCCACACGAATTCCTCTGTTGGATTCACTCCCCGTCTCCCCACTGCATGGATGGCCCATCACCGTATGCCTGCTAGGCATAGCCTGAAACTGTTACCATGGTGACATCTCAGGAGGCACTGAAGCCCAGATTCTAAGCCCATCGTCCCTGACCCGGACCCCTAGACTTTCGCCTTTCAACTCGACCCCCAAACCTTCTTCCTTCAACGCGAGACCTACAACGATCTATCCACAATTGTTGACCTCATGAAATTGAGCATCTGTTCTAATCCTGTCGTGCTCGCCTATCCCTAGGATCTCCTGTCCAAAAGACGTGACACCTAGTGTACCCCTACATCGCCGTATATAGCCCTGTATATCCCCCATGCGGCTTAACCCTACATATCCTTAAGACGCTTTGAATTCCCTAGTTCTCCCCAAGCCCAGGTCCAAGGAGCCTTTACCCTTCAAAGGCCGTTTGGGGCCGGTCCCTGGCGCTCCTCAGAGCAGCGTGGATCCATGGTTTCGTAGGGCTTCAAAAGCATTCAGCTTCCAAAGTACTGTCTGCAGCTTCATGGCGTCAAAGGGATGAATTACAGCTTCGAGGCATTGTGCACGCTTCGAAGGACTTGTTTTCTGTGTCATAGTTCTAGGAAAGGTATTGTTTATGTCTTGAAGTGATGGCTTAGGGCTTCAAGCACGCAAGCTTTATTGACGCTGAGAGTTTCATGTTCAGTGATCTGAAGCCATAGCACAAGGGAAGAAGATCGAGTGAGTTGAAGCATTCAGTCGCTTTGCGAAGAAACGTGTTTGGTGCTTGGCTTGTCGGTTTCATCTTACATCACCTGCATAGAAACACGTGATTCAGTGGCAACATTGTGCATGGGGAGGTGATCAAGAGCACCGAGTAAATTTGCCTGGTGGGTGGTTGGGTGATGTGGGGTGCCAAACGTATTCAGAACGTGTGCAGGATTGAGCAACAGGATGATGAGCTGGTAGTTGGGAGAACCAGGGCGAGGGCTACAAAATTACCGGGATTGCAAGATCGTGCCTACGAAGGCAATGAATGACAATTTGTTTTGCTCGTTGCGAACAACACATGCGCTCCAAATTGCGAGGGCGCTTCCCACACAAGCGCTTTGAAAGCGTTGGACTTCCAAACCTGTGGTGAAAAGCGGATTGCAAAACCGCTACCTGCCAGCACCGTGGGGCGCCAGGCAACTGCATCTCTTTGCTTCCACTGAAAAAGTCCTTTTGTCGGAGGGTGGTGTTTGGAGAAATTCAGGTGAGAAGCTGACTCTATCTAGCCTTCGATCGTTCTTGTTCTTGTGTTCTTATCTTCGCTTGGTTGCAGCATGAGTTTGCCAGCATCATGGGTGGCTTTTTCGTGGTTCTTGAAGATCCAAAACCAGCTTAAAGCCCTTGCTATCAAATCCTTATAACAACCCTTATCAAAAAAAATGATTCAAGCATCAGGCAAATGCGGCGCCGCACTCTTCAATCCGGCTCCTGCTAGCACTCCTGGGCCTGAGGCCGAAAGCCTCGAGGCGGGGTTGGCTTAAAACTTGGCAAGATATTTGGGGTTTAGGGTTTTGGGTTTTGGGTTTAGGGTTGGGTTATATAGAGGTTCTCTAGGGGATTTATAGGGATAATGGAAAATGAAATGGAAACTACAGGGAAGTTCTATGGTAGTTTCCCAAAATGAGGGGACCCCAATATAGACCCCAAAATATTATCGTCCTTATTTATAGGGGCCCCCAAAAAGATACCCCTAATTTGAGGAAACCCCCATTAAACCCTCGGGAAGAAATGCCCCACAAAAGAAAAGGGTTCAATTAGGTATGTTCAGCACTTTTGGGTGTGGAAGGGTGTGAGGACTCTTTCTTCAGTTTATTTCTCTGCTAAGTCCTTTGGGGAAACATTGGCCCTGACACGACCCAAAGTCTTTATGATTGGGCCCGCGCGGCAGATTTTTGTGCGATCAGGATGCCAGCAAGGGAGTAAGACTCCGTTCTTGTTTATTCCTAAGTGCAGTAATGGTACTTTTCTCACGTAGCCTCCCAAAACCCTAAAGGGCCCCTGGCCATAGCCACACATCTCCTGTAAACCCAGGTCAACATCGCCAGGAACCGTCCTGCAGCGTCCTCCTCGATCGAAGGGGGCAATCCAAACTTTGGTCCTGGCCAGGCTGGAAGGCTTTATATAGATAGAATATAGGGTATACTATCGGGGGTTATATAGGGATAATGGATAAGAAAATGGAAGCTACTGTAGTATAATAGGGTATACTATTGGGGGTGATATAGGGATAGTGGAAAAGAAAATGTAAACTACTATAGTGTAATAGAGTTTATACTAATTATGTCCTGGCATCCTGAAGCTCCAATGCCAAAAAGCCTTAGCGTAAGCCTTTAGATCCCAATCAGACCTTGTAGAGACACATCTTTGCCGTCCTCCAGTCTTAGTCCGAAAAGCAAGTTCCTTTTCGAGACTGCAAATCCCACGTGTTGGAAAGGTGGCCTTTGGCCGTGGTTCAGACAGGACTCAGGACGAACAGTGACGCCCCAGTAGCTCCTAGGAAGGGGTACAGTCAGAGATACCTACGAGTAGGATGGGCCATCAGCTCTTGGAGTACGGGGACACAGACGGTGAGGCTCAGGATCTGGGCCAAGGGCTTTATCAGAGGCCCACATACACTGGACCTCAGAAAAATTGGATTTTGGTAACCCCCGCTCCCAAAATATCCCAACATCAGGGCCCCATTGCTGGCATATGAGTCTTGTGATGACGTTTATTAGCTTCTTCTAAAACTTTACAGAGGTTTGGGGTGCCAAAACCCCTTTACTACGTAACCTTCAACCCCATATGGCACATATCACTACAAACCCCAGGTTCCATGTCGTGAGATTCTCCATTCTTGTTCCCTATACATCCAAAATAATTCCTCAACGGCAATATACAATCCTGGCTAACCTTGAAGACCCTGTACATCCCAAACTAATCCCCATATGCCGCCCCAAAGGCCGTGGATGGATTGCCAGATACGAGGTGGAGCTCTGCCTTCGCAGACAATGAGCCTGGGGCATTTTCAGAAAGGGGGGTCGCCCAAATTTGTTGGGTCCCCAGTTTTGGGGGCATTACTAAAAGGAATGGTTAGTCGCAACCCTCTAATCATAACCGTTCTCAGTATAGGTAGGGGTGGGGAAGGCATCACAGAACCCAGCGACCTGGGCATGTTAGTTAAGATTTAGCACTCAAAGACCATGACGTAGATGATGGTAACTACAACGATGATTCTTCCCGTAAGTGGAGCTGTAGACAATTTTCTTGCAAGAAAGGACCTCATAAGCTTAATTCTCAGAAGCTGAGGAATCATTGTTTCTTCAATGTTGAAGACACCTGCCACGAAGAACAAAACAGTCCTATGATCTTCGGAATAGTTCGAGAGCAGCTAGAAACACTT